AGCAGGAACTGACTGGCTCCATCACTTCTTGGACAAGGTGCTCACCTTTGTACCTCAGTTCCTCCCAGCACCCCACACTGACCTGTTCTGAGGACTCAGGAAGTCACTGCATGTAAATGTAGAGAGACCGGGACTTGGTAGGAGGCAAGGATGAAGTCTTTGGTGGGGACTGTCCATCTTAAGTGTCTGCAAAGTTTACTTAAAATGCAGGGTCCGATCAAAATTAAAGTTTAATTTTGAACGAAACATTCTACAGTTCTTGTGCATTCAGTTTGAAAACCACTACTTTGAAGGAAAGAATTTTTTAGCTTTTTTTTTGGGGGGGGTGTTTTAGTTTTTTAAGAGTTTCTCTGCGTTAACAGCCAGTTTCTCTGGCTGGCCTTAAACTCAGAGATCCTCCTGCTTCTCAAGTGCTGGGATTAAAAGTAAATTTTATAATTCTCCTTAACATATCCATTTTTGTTTTAATGTTCCAAAAAACAAAACAAACAAACAAAAAAAGCCACACCCAATAGCTCTGTGTATTGTTTGCTGCTGGATAAAATGCTCCTGGGAGGATGTTAAACATGTCCTGGAGCTAGGCCACTTCTTGGAGTATTTCTGCTTGAGACCTTACACTCCTGAAGCTTGAATTCCTGATTCTCCTGCCACCACCCCATCCCCTGGATGAATTGCCAGTGTGCATTCATCCTGCTCCCTGGTACACTTCTGTATATCCCAGCAGCCATGATCTTCGTTGTCAACCTGATGGCAATTACCATGGAAAACCACTTCTGGGAATGTCTACGAGGAGGGCGAGGTGGCCTTGGCTGTGGAGAGCCTCTCCAATGGGGGGCTGAGGTCCTGATGTCTATGAGGGTGCTGAGGTTCAGCGGAGGGCGAGGTCACCTTGGCTGTGGAGAACCTCTCCCATGAGTCCTGACCAAAGAAACAGAAGCCCATGGAGCACCGGCATTCATCTCCCTCTGCTTCTTCACTGTGGGTGCAGTGACCTGCAGCCTCACCCGCAACGTCAGGCCTTCCTTGCCACGATGAATTGTACCTTCAAACCAGGAGCCAAATACGTCCTTCCTTCCTCCTCAGATTGTCTTCGCCGGGTAATTCATTACAACAAGAAAATTAACTACCCAGAGTCTTCTGGGTTTTCAGGGCCTTGCTATGCTGCACAGACTGACCCTAAGTAGCTAGCACTAATCAGACATACAACTGCCCCAGTCAACCTTATTTCTAGTGCATGGTTTGACAAGTCTTACCAGGGTAGCCTTCTGCTCCACTTCTAACGAGCTTTCTGTGGTAGAGTGGAAAGCTTGTCTCCCAGACCATGCTGACAGATGCAATTCTCTACGCAGAACAGGCCCTCCTGGGCTCTGCAGGTAAAGTATAGAGCACAACCTGTTGCTACTGCCCACTCTGCCGAGAAGTCACATCATAAAGATACCTCAAATTTCTGCAAAACTTTGCTGATACCTACTCTGGGTGGACTGAGAATGGCTGTGGCAGTGATACCATAGTGGCTCCCTTCCTGGTGCCTCAGCTTTAAGTCTGGCAGAAGTGGTAGTTACCAGGCAGGGTAATTCCGCAGTGTTCAAGAACACATTCCCAGAGAGAAACCTATGGTCCATTTCTTTAAGCAGTCCACTAACTTAAAAAATAAGCCGGGCAGTGGTGGCACAAACATTTAATCCCAGCAGAGGCAGGGGGATCTCTGTGAGTTCAAGGCCAGCCTGGTTTATACAGCAAGTTCCAGGGCAGGCTCCAAAGCTACACAGAGGAAAACCAAAACAATAATGATGATGATGCTGTTGTTTTCAGTAGGACACAGTGGAACATATCTACAGTTCCCATACATGGAAGGCTGAAATGGGACCAACTAGTCTGGGCTACCTAGTCAGACCATGTCTCATTAAGACAGGACAAATTAAAGCCAACAAATCTCCCACATAACCAAAAATGCCTGCACATTTTTAACTGTATTCAAAAGTAGACATTATAGTAGATAATCAATACCCATGCCATCTTTAACAGTCACTAACTTATTTTGCCAAACTGATTTTGTTTTTAAGACAGGATCTCTCTATATAGCCCAAGGTAACTCCAAATTCATGATCTTCCTGCCTCTGCCTCTCAAGTGCTAGGACAGTGTGCACCACATCAGTCTTGATTCATAAGTATCCCTACCCGCTTCTCCATTCCCTCCCCTCTTCCTGGGACTCTCCCACCAGTCCACAGCACTGGTTCTCTGCCCACCACCTATTCTGAAGCAAATGTCAACCACATCCTTTTGGGCAAGCACTGTTGGCGCAGTAGACTCTTAAAGGTTCAGAGTAATTATGTATCCACTCAGTGTTCACACTGTTGATATCTTTTATTGTAGTACACTTAGCTTTGTTTTGCTGAGCTAGTACCCAAATAAAGTCCACAGATTGCAAGCGGTTGACACATTTCAAGTCTTGATGTCTAAGTCCTCCCTTCATCTGTGTGGTTTTATTCATGAAATTGGATTTGAAGAAATCATCTTGTTTGCTTCCTGCTCTCTGTATTTTGGTGGCTGTGCCCGATGATTTGCTAGTTCAGTCTTCCACAATTCCCAGAAATTGCTGGGTACAAAAGCTTCATTAGGCTTCTTCTTCCACAATGAAGGTGAGTTTTCTGAGATTGCATTAGCCTCTGCCAGGTAGCTAACAATGGCATTAGCAGTCTGGGAACACTTAAACTCAGCTCACAGCCACTGGGGGGCGGAGGGTGGGTGAGGGGTGTTGCTATTTACTACCATGGGTTATATGTCTTTAGGCTACTGATATGTGAAAGCCAAAGATTAAAACTTCTGCTTATGGCCAAGACAATCTTCCTTGCATCCTTCTGGAGTGGAAAGACAAAAGTATTTCATTCATTCTCATCCCTTCAAGGATAAAGTCCTTTAGGGTGCTAGTTTTTTGAGAATGTCTCTTACTAATCCCAAGTGTTCTGGGCTTTGTCGTCAGTCTTGTACCCCAAGTTCAAACTGAGTTGTGACCAGAGGCACTGACTGAAAGGGTGTTCTCACCCGGTTCTGGCATAACCCTAACAACTTGCCAACTACGCGATGTTTTCAGAGAGTTAATACCTTCACTCAGATCTGTAGTTGTCCCCAGTCCCCAATGTGAAGTCCAAGTATACACAAAACATGTACATATCTCATATTAGACAGGTCGGGCTGGTGTAGCGATCCCAGAAACGTGATTAGGCTTAAGAACCCTTCAAGGAGCATGGACTGAAAGCCATGTCACTAAGTCTTTTCCTAAGGAAGACCGCAAGGCTGCAGTCCTCAAGTCCTCTTGCGCTGAGAGCAGGACTTACTCCCACAGTTAAAAGCTATTAATACTTCTCATTTTCTTTAGAGGGCATCCTAAATTTCTCAGGTGTTTTTTTTTTTAAATGTTAACACTTTAGATGGATGTAATTAACAGGGGAGGCACAGGGTAATATGCAAACGGATTAAGCATTATCACAAGAACAACCTACAGGCCTCACCTAGTCGCTACAACTAAGTTGTAAAATCAAAGCGATCTTGTTAGCAGTTAAGTTATGAACCCCAAAGCCATTTCCTCAGATATATTATTAAAATTACCAAAATACTTAAAATCAAAACAGTTAACATTGTGGGTTTTCCTTATTACTCTTCAGTATTTAGAAATTATCAACCGCTTGCTAAAGAAACACAGTGAGCACTAATATCTACATATTTATGTATCATAGTAAAAATGACAAGGCAGAGACTATTCATTTTCTTTCTTCCAAGAAAATACACAAAACTTAGCTGAACAGAGGGCAGGTAGTGTGAAGTGGGTGCCTTCCCTGCCTTTCTTGAAGGTACATGTGACCACATGACTACACTCTGGCTAATAAGATGCAAACAGAGATGTCCTACAGCAGCTTCCAAAAACAACCTTCCGGAGTGCTGGCGCTGCCTACTGTACTTCCCGACCTCCTTCCAACAAAATGAAGTGGCTGGAGGCCCAAGTATGGCAGAAAACTACAAGGACTTAAACCCTCCAGAAAACCTCATGGAAGAGAGAGCTCACACCACTCTTGAGTCTTTATTGCTGGCATCTAACATCAAGAGAGAAATAAGTCATGATGTTGTGTCTGCAGTACTTGGTGCTCCCTAAACACTGGCTTTCTGTAGATACAGGACAAAGGCAACCTCATAAATGGGAGATTTTCAAGCATGCTAAGCAGCCATCCTGCCCTCTTGTCTTTTTCTTAATTATTCTTATTTGAGACAGGGTCTCACCCTGCTGTCTCTTCTGAAACGAGCTATGGAGACCAGGCTAACCTTGGAATCACAGAGATCTGCCTGCCTATGCGGCATCCTGACTGCTGGGGTTAAAGATGTGACCACCATACCTAGCTCACTTTTCTTTTTTTAGGACATATGCAGCTGTTACACACTAGGGATCAGTTAACTCTTCTAGTCCTGTGTGTCTCTATCAGTTGAACTGGGGTAGCACCATCTATGTAAGAAGAGCCCCTAGATACCCACAAGTAAACATGTGTGACCACGTTAGGCACTGTGAGTCACTATACATACTAACTGGTGAGAGCATAAGAAACCTATGGGCAGACGCTGTCTTACACTGTATCTTCAGAACAAGTGCTCAATAAATACTCACTGGATAAATATTTTAACATCCTTGATCATTGATAAATTATTTTGCTTTTCGAGCTGAATAAAGCTGATGTAGAGTATTATTTGTGTTCCTAATAGGCATAAATAATAGCTCCTAATTTTGATGTCAGTTAGACAATGCAAGGGTGTGAAACGAGAAGGCTGAGATGCTTCTCTAGGCCAAATGTGAACCAACCCACTTACAAAAGCAACACAAGCTGGCACAGTTGCACAGAAATGGAAACTTTATGACACTGTTCCCAGAGAATCACAAAGATACATGCAAAAATATTCTTTAATATAAAAGCCACTAAAGCTACCACATCAAACGAAAGATTTCTTCACATTGGACTGTGACTAAAGCATTTTATTAAATTAAGTGTGTAATTTGCAAATGGTTTCATAAGAAATTTTAAAAGCAAAGTTATAAACATTTTCAATAAAAAAGTACAGAGTTGACAGCAAAAATCACGTTTTTATAGTACAAACAAAAACATTGCTTCTAATATATACTGTCTGAGCAGCTTCTAGTCTCTCTTCAACCGCTGGCTGCAGTGTGGCACAGTAACGAGACGTCTGGGGTAAACTCAACAATAACAACAGGTTCATCATCTGACCACAGAAGTCAACCGCTCAGCTGTGAGGACACAATGAATGAACGTCGTCATCATCTATCTGAGGTCATGAGGCCTTAGGACACAGAGGTTCTAGCCTTGCTTCTCTATTCCCAAGTAATACTGTAAACTTAAATTACACTTTAAAAAATAAGCACCATTAACATACATTCTACATCGCCTTACTTTTCCTTTTAAATGGCACTTGGTTTTGGCCACACAGACATTTAAATCTGTTTTCTTTACAAGTAATTAAAAATAAGCAACATTTAAGCACAGCACAGAGCATTATCAAATGTCACCTCATTGCACAACGGAAAAGCACTCGGAAAAAACAGCACACATTATTTTTGTCTGTTTCAAACATTTTTTTGAGAGCAGCTAAAACACTGTCAGAACAATTTCTTGAGTTTCAAAAGTTTCCAATTGCCAGCTCAGAAATAACTAACCTTGTCATTACACGTGTCCTTCCAAAGCAAACAGAACACTTGAATTTAAAGAGAAAAAGAAACAAAGGACAGGAAACCACCCAAAGGAACTGGAAGCTTTCCTTCTCCATATATGTTAGAATACAATCATTTCAGCCCCAGGTTCCACCATGTAATACGGACTGTATGTAAAAATAGGATTAAAAGTAGTGTGGGAATACTAATAAACAGAAGAGAATTTCAACTCGAAAATAACAGTGACACATGAAGAGCTAATGAATGTCAGAAGACATGCTCAGGTTGTCTCCCAGGATCAGGAATGGGCTGGACGGTCCTGAGGCCCTGGCCCCGCTGCACTCCCACCGCAGTGTCCCTTCCATTCTCTTCTCACACGGGGCCGACAGCAACAACAGACTATTAGATGTATAGAACTGCTACCGAGAGCTTCCAAGTTTTTGGAAGAAATCCTGTATTTTTAAAATGCTTTAAAATATTAGGTTTACAAAGAATTCTTCTAACCTGGATTATTTCTAAACCATCTTTACTTCTGACATACAAAATTTAGAAGTGGGGGAAAAAAAACTCATGATCCCCAAAATATCTACCTTTGGCTGGCACATGAGATTCAGAGATTGGCAAAAGAAAAATCAGAGAATATTCTTTCATAATTGTAACTGCTTAAACAATACCAGATAGTAGGATAAGGAGAAATTTTGGGACTACAAATATATATATGTATAATGTTCAAGCTTTGTGTATTTATAGATAATAATTAAGGAATAGGAAGCCAAGCATGGCAAAGCACACCTATAATCTTAACATTTAGGCAGGTAAGGCAGAAGGATTGTGAGTTTGTGGCTGACTTGCTGTGCGTAGTGACGTCAAGATCTCTATTAGGTCATTCCATCACACAGAACCACGGCTGGACTTCTCAGAATCAGGCCGTGCACAGCATCAAGACAGCTGCTTCCCCTTGGCCTCCAACCACAGTGCGCCAGGCTCGTACTTCTCCTCATTGCTCCCTTATTAATTATAATCACAGTAATATAATAAGACTATCTCAAGTATTCAAATATGAGTTTTTTAAAAGATGAAAAATATAAAACACAGAAAAAGAGTATGTAGCTGCACACACTCCAATAACTGCAGGTTTAATACTGTTTCTCACTGTTTAAATCGTATTAACCTGAAAACAGAAATAAGCTCACTTCATTAACTACTGATTATGGTTTTTGTACTAAGTTATAAAAGGGAACTGCTTTTTTTTAATATATATAACACCTCTGAGCACTACCAAAAAGTGAGACACTACTGCAATTTTTAAAACAAATTATTACAAGTCTAAAAATATAACCACTTGAATATCAGTAATCACTAACCATTTGCAGGTAATAAACATGGATTTTTGTTTTTATGGCAATAAAATTCAATGGTAAGGCTCTTATTTTAAAAGCATGATTCACAAGATGTAAGAACATGATTTTGAGCTTTATTTCCACTAACATATCTGTTCTTTGGGGGCTCATTCTGTCTGTCAGTATTCTTCAGTGCAGGGCAATGCCGCATTCCTGATGAAGGTGATTTTGTAAGCCAAATAAAAAGCAACATAATTGTTTGCAAACACTGTATATGTTGAAAATACTCTGTATATCCAAAGTTAAATTTATTTTAACTACTATCTCATTATAGAAAAATTACACTTCACCATACTAAGTCTGTATAAAGGAAATTTACATTCTAACAGGACACTGGCCCAACAGAAGCCAATGAGACTTTTCATTCAGAAAATTGGCTCCTTTTCAAAATAAAGGTAAAAAAGTCTTTCTAATTACAAGGGTTTCTTTTACAGTTATACCAAAGTATGTTTTCACACTTATATCAATAGGATTTTTAACTCACACAGCTTAGAAATGACGTTACACGTATAAAAGCAGCCACTTAGCACTGTCTGGAGTCACTCTCGGACGGGTCCACAAGCGGTCCTGTAGGCAGTCTCCTCCTCTGAACTGAGACTGCAGCTTAGTCTCAGACCCCGCTTTCCTCCCAGGAAATGCACAGCACAGAACAGCACAGAAGGGAAGGGGTCAAGATCACAGACACAGAGGAAAGGATAACCGAGTGTCCGCCCATCTGCACGGGACACAACGTCAAGTGACTCTGTGTGACAGGCTTCGAAAGCAGAAAGAATCCGTGTTCTGCTGATCATCCTTCCCCTTTACTATTTTGAACCCTGTTCTTTGAGAGCCAGGAACCAGGTTTCAAAAGCACAGTGCCCCTCACAGGCTTCTACAGACTTCTCTAATAGGAAACGGTTAACACAAAGGCAGCGTTTTCATTGTTCTTGTTTTGTGTTTTCTCCTAAAAACAAACTAGAGTACTTAAGACTTTTAAACTGCAGGTGATAATTTTTTAGGCATATTATAATCAATAAAAAACTCTTTTTAATGTTTTACCAAGTAACAGACTGGAATTTGATCCAGTAAAAAAACTTTCTTTGGATTCTGAGAAACCTTTTTCTTGTTTTATATTCCTAATAAAACACATCTGAGAGTAGAACTGACTGAATTACTGCAGATAAAACCAATTTCAGCCTATAAATCTTCATGTCTCTAAAGTCAGGGCTTTTAAATCTTACTTTAGCATGACCTTCAAGCACCCTGGCTTAATTTCAGAGAACCTGTGGAAATGAGAAAAGAGTTATTTAAAATGTAAACATTTCAAACTTAAAAAGAATATCTTTTAATCAATTCAAATGACCTATACTTAAATTTATTACTAACACTGCATCTTTTATTAACATCCAAGACCAATAATGACTTATGGTCAAAGCAAAAACAATCCTAAAGCTGTGGGTTATTCCTACATCACTGGTCAATATAATTTACAGTTTTTCCAAACTTCTCAATCCTGAATCTGACCTTCAGGAGGAAGAGCCTGCTGTATGAAAGAGAAGATGGTGTATTCCATTGTTTCTGGGCATCAAGAATGCACCAAGAAGAGCCCTCTGCTACAAGTCTCATTCGTCTGGCCATGTGAGGCTGTAAACTGTCCTGTGTCAACCTCAAGAGGCACACCAGTAGCTGAGACAGTTGTTAATACGACACAGCTCTAGCCTACCCAACTCAACTGCAGAACTAGTCCCGAGAGACTTCTAACTTTCATCAAGTAATATCTCATTGCACAGCACATACAAAAGTCTCACACTAATTGAAATTGGAAGACTGGAAGAAAGGGGAGAGACTTGAGAAGTGGTATTCTCAAAGAATCTATACTTGGAATATTTCTTGTCAGTTTCTATTACAGACTACAAGGGAAAAGGGACACTTCATATCTGTCAATAAAAATTATTAATGCATTTAACTTATGAGGACATATCATTCACTTAGAACTTCTGCTAAAGTTTAAACATACCCAAATTATAACTATTTCAGCCAGTGTCCCACACACTCTGTCTTTCAAAATGAGCAAGTCTTAAGACTCATGTATCTTAGTTCTGTGGGGTAGCACATTACAAAGGAATGCAAGAAGATTTTGTTTTTATAACTTTAAATTATAAAATGACAGAAAGTCTTAGCAGATCATCACTGACAAAAGCCTTATTTTTCTTTGATTTCTCATCTACCAGACAAAACACATCTAGCAAGAAAAGCTATCGTCTAATTATTGATCTGCGACTGACATCAGATAGCTGGACTAAGTACTAGCTTTGAATATAAGCACAGAAGAAGCCTGCACTCACCTGAAACTGTGGCTTGTGAGGTATTTAATGACAGCTGGCTTGATGCGAGCAACTCCTCCCTGGCTGTGGTTTCCTCTCCCCGTAATCACAGAAAGGTAGGGCTTACCGCCATTCTGCTTAAATTCTATTAAAATTGGAATTGGAACAGTTAAAATAATTTTCTACATTCTCAGTACAAAATCTACTCAAAAGCATATGAAATTACTTTCATGGTGTTTTAGGAGATTTAAAATTTGTTTTTAAACCACAGAGAGACCCAAAGCAGTTTATCATTGAAAGCCATAAGGACTAGGCCTAGCAGCACACATTTGACAGCAGAAGCTGAGAGACATAGATAGGTTGTAGACTTGGAGGCAGCCAGGAGTACAAGAGGAGTTTGAGTCACTACACAGTGAGACTCTACCAGGAAAGAAAAATAGTAAGCTCAAGTTAGGAGAGCAATTTCTATCCTCTACAAATCTTTCTGAATAATAATGACAATAATATTAATTATATCTAAAAGTTATTACACACATGGACTCAGAAAATGCTTTACAAGACATATTTTTGTGAATTAGAATCTCACTAACAACCTTATTAATGAAGTACTTTAAAGCCAACCTAACCAGTATGAAACACAGTTCTGCCACAAATTAACTGTGTGTGACCACGGGCAAGCCTGTTTTTCTTCACATTAGGAAAGGGAGATGATAACAGCCATTACTTTATAGATTGTCTTCCAGGTACAGCTGGCAAATCTAATTTTAACATAGCCCTACTATCAAAGATAATCCACTGTTAATTCTTCCCAGAAGAGAACTTTTTGAAATACTGAATGACACTGATCTCTCTCGCGCATGCTCTCTGGTTTTTTTTATAATATTTATTTATTTATTTATTTATTATGTATACAATATTCTGTCTGTGTGTATGTCTGCAGACCAGAAGACGGCACCAGACCTCATTACAGATGGTTGTGAGCCACCATGTGGTTGCCGGGAATTGAACTCAAGACCTTTGGAAGAGCAGGCTGTGCTCTTAACCATTGAGCCATCTCTCCAGCCCAATGCTCTCTGGTTTTTTGAGACAGGATTTCTCTTTGTAGCCCTGGATGTCCCAGAACTCACTCTGTAGACCAGACTGGCCTCAATCTCAGAGATCCACCTGCCTCTGCCTCCTGAGTGCTAGGATTAAAGGTGTGCGCCACCACCCAGTGACACTGATCTTTTAAAGAATGCAGTTGCTACTTCATATTTAACCCTGAGACGGTAAATATATAAACTCTGAAATCAACAACAGCTCTATAGAATATCAACAACAAAACCAAAAAGTCCTATTAATAATAAAGTACTTGATATAACAAATTTGTTTCTCATTCATAAATAGCCTAAGTTTTATCTTTAGTATAACACATTATGAACATTTCATTCTGTTAATAAAATGGAAACAAAATATTATTTTCCAAGTCTCATTATATACAGGGCAATACTTGACTTATAATTTTATTTATTCATTTACTTATTTGAGACAGGGTCTCACCGTATTGCCCTGACTGACATGGAATTCACTATGGACACCAGGCTGTCTTGTAACTTACAATGATCTACCTGGACCACGATACCCAACTAGCTCGGAATTCTAAAAGGCTATGCTGTTAGGACAGGAGAGTCATGAGTCCAAGGCCAGCCTGGGCTGCCTACACAAGAAGGGCCGATCTCGAAACAAACTGAAAGCTTTCATTTTAATTTTCTTGAACCCATTCTCATCACTTTCACTTCTGCCTCAGCAGGCAGGTCGGTCCCCATCACCTCTCTACTAACAGTGCACAGCTGCTCTGAAAATGCTCTCCAGGTGATTCACATACTTCAAACCCGGAGCAGCTCAAAAGAGACTTGTCTAGCTAATGTACATGCTTACTGTCTAGAATACAGACTGTTCCTGATATTTATCACCTCTGGAACACTCTTTAACTTAGTCTTAAGTACATTCAGATTGCTAATAACTTTAAATTACAAATGCTCAAATGATTCCCAAAAAAGAACTCCTCTAAAGAATTGTAAAAAGCCAAGCAGTGGTGTACACCTTTAATCCTACCACCTGGGAGGCAGAGGCAGGAAGATCTCTGTGAGGTTGAGGCCAGCTTGGTCTACCTGGTCTACCTAGTGAGTTCCAGACCATTCAGAGAAACTCTGTCTCAAAAACAAAAGATTTAAAAAAAAAAAAACACTCAATTTTCATCTTATTAATGACAGTTCTCCAATTACCTGAAACGTGTTATAGAGCAATCTTTTTGTTTTGGTTTGGTTTGGTTTTGGTTTTTCGAGACAAGATTTCTCTGTAGCTTTGGAGCCTGTCCTAGAATTAGCTCTTGTAGACCAGGCTGGCCTGGAACTCACAGAGATTCATCCACCTACCTCTGCCTCCCAAGTGCTGAGATTAAAGGTGTACACCACCACTGCCCGGCTGTGATTTTTTTTTTAAAAATTAGAGTTGAAATAACATTTCATTCAGCTGATTAACGTTTCGTGTTTGTTTTGTTTTGTTTGTTTTTTCTCATATAGGCCCTGGCTGGCTTTGACTTCATGGTGATTCTCCTTTCTCACCCTACCAAGAGCTGAGATTACAGGTATGAGCCAACATGTCCCACTTGATATGTTTGCTTCTTTTATTTTCAGACATGATCTTACTATACAGCTCTAGCTGACTTGGAACTCGCTATGTAGACCAGGCATCCTCAAACTCAGAGATCCGCCTGTCTCTGCCTTCTGAGTGCTGGGATTAAAGGAATGCACCACTGTGCCAATCTGATCTATGTTTAAGTAGTTATAAACCCAAAGGTTTTCCTTCCATTTATTTTTCTTTACTTTTAATTTTAAAAATTAGAGTTCTTTATCTGAGATTTCCAGTCTTTATTTTGCTGACTGTATTTCATGGTAATGTATTGTTCCTCTTCCCCATGAATCCCTATTACTAACTGCATCCAGACTCTCGACTTTCCAGTTTATCTGAGGGTAGAAAGACTTCACAGGTGGGTAGGACTTCACCCACAAGGCACACAGGACACAGTGTCTCTATTCATCCGCAGTTTAGAAAGTGCTTTTATATGATGGCTAAAACTAATGCAAGGATACCCCCATAGTCTTCCCAGCCCCAGACACTTCTACTCAGCAATCCTGCCATCTGGTGGCAAGGGGTAGACACGCACAAACACACACAGATGGCTTTGGCTTCAGAAAACTATTTGCACCTTGGATCTGAACAAACACTACCCTGGGCAAGTTACCAAAGTCTCTTTTTTCCTATAAATTTTTATTTATATAAAATTCTCATAACATAATGTTCTTCATTTTCAAACTTTACAGTTCAGCTGGGCCTGGTGATGAAAGCCTTAGTTGCAGCTACTTGGGAGGCTGAGGCAGGATATTCACAAGTACAAGGTCAACCTTGGCTACACCAGCCTGGGCAACTTAGTGACATCTTGTCTCAAAACAAAATAAAAAACCCTATTCAGTAGTGTTTGTCCTTTTTGGTTCTTTAGCATATCAACAATGCTACAGCTACACAATCAACATTGTTGCTTCCAGTATTCCCTCCTCTCAAAAGGAAACCATGTGACGGTCAGCAGTTACTTCATATTACCAGTTCCAACCCAAGCAATCACTAATATTTCTGTCTCTAAGGACATTTCATGTAAATGTCACTTTTGTACTGGTCTTCTTTTATGTAGCATTCTTAGAAGTTCATCCATGTATAAGAACTTCATCTTCATGGACAAGTAAAATTCCATTAAACAGATGTACCACACTCTGTTTACATACATACATACACACACACACACACACACACACACACACACACACACACACACACGTAGGAAAGAAGGAAGGGGAAAACATTTCACTAAGACTAAAAGGAAAGACTGTATGATGACACTTACATGTGGAATCTGAAAGGTCAAACTCCTGGAGTGGTTCAAGGCAGAACAAGAAACAGAATGTGGGTCAAATAAAAGGCATAACTTCTCAACTGCAGGAATGAGTTCTGAGATCTAAAGTACAGCGTGACAGCTATCAACATTGCTACACTGTGACAGGTAAGTCATACTACCATGGCATCTGCTTTGCTCTTAAAGTAACCCCTCACCCACTCTTTGTCTTACTTTTCTACCTACTGGACAGAGACACTGTAACCATGGCAACTTATGGAAGAAAGTTTATTGGGAGTTTACAGTTTCAGAACTTATGGACTTGGACTCATGACCACCATGACAGTGAGCATACACAGTGCTGAGCAGTAGTTGAGGGCTTCCATCACTATCCAACAGTAAGAGCCAGAGAGCTAACTAGGAATGGTCTGGCCTTGAAACATTACCGCCTACCCCCACAGACACACCTCCTTCAATAAGGCCACATCTCCTATTCTTTCCCATCCCCACCAATTGTAGACTCAAAATATATGAGGGGAGAGGGACCACCTCATCCAAGATATCTCATTCATACTTCTGTAAGTAACCCCAATAAACTCACTAATTCACCAAGTAAGCTTTAGTGGAGGTGGTAGCTTTTCTGTCATGGATTCTCTATCAGGGCTGAGCATTTGTTTTTATTTCCCAGAGTCACACAACACCATCTCCCAAGGCCAAGATTCTAGTTATTAAAAGTACTGGGGTACTGGACTAGAACGATGGCTTGGCAGTTACAAGCACTCGCTGCTCTTACAGAGGACCCACGTTCAGCTCCAGCACACACAGAGGCTTACGACTATCCATAACTCTGACTCAATGGGATCCCATGCCCTCTTCTGACCAGGCAAACAAATAGTACACATATTTGTGCAAGCAAAATACTCATATACATAAAATAAATTTTAAAAATGTAAGTACTGAGGTAAGAAGACTACAAAACAATTTTAGCAAACAAATGCAGAATTTAAAAACAATTATAACTTGATGGATATGGCGGCACATGCCTTTAATCCTAGCCCTTGGGAGGCAGAGGCAGGTGGATCTCTGTGAGTTCGAGGACAGCCTGGTCTACATAGAGAGCCCAGGACAGGGAGAGCTAGACAGAGAAACTCTGTCTCAAAAAGAAAAAAAATAACCCACAAAACAAAACAAAAACGTTTTGGGGCTGGAGAGATGGATGGCTGATGGACAGTTCAGCAGTTAAGAGTAAAGCTTTTCCAGAGGATCCTGGTTCAATTTCCAGTACCTACATGGCAGCTCACAACTGTCTGTAATTCCAGTTCCAGGGGGTCTGACACCCTTACACAGATATACATGCAAACAAAACATTAATTCACATAAAGTACGAATAATTAAATCTTTTAAAAGTAAAATACAGTGCTGTCACACAAACACAAAGACCCGAAGTCAATACCCAGCACCCATGCAAAGCTCAGAGCAGTGAGTCGTGCCTGACTGTAATAGCACTGGGAAGATGCAGACGGAAGGGTCCTTGGGTTTGCTGGCTATTCAGCCCAGGAAAATCAACAAGGTCCTAGGTCGGTAAGAGAGCCCACCTCAAAAAATAAGATGGAGAAAACAGAAAAGGAATTGTATATATTGAACAGAGAGGTATTGCATAAATAGAGGAGATATTTTAATGGGTAGGAAGGATATAGAATAAATTTTACGATGTTGATTTCCAATAGAAAAGAAAAGTAGAGAAGAGACTGAGAGAAGTCTAATAGGAAGCATTTTAAAAACGAGAAACAGTAAACCGCCTGCACATGCTATGGGATTCATTGGTCTGTGGGCATTTCTTATATTATTCTGTAGCCTCTTCAACATAGTTTTTATGGGATTCATTGGTCTGTGGGCATTTCTTATATTATTCTGTAGCCTCTTCAACATAGCTGCAATGTCTCAGAATAAGTTGATGAATTTTCAATCTTACATATCAATCCTACTTCATCACAAGTGGTACGACTGAATTGATAAATGTACAGATAAAGTAGGACATCTTTATAATTCAAAATTTCTCCAGTAATGACAAACAGATGACTTCCAGTATCAGTGTCCGAGATAACTCAAATAGATTGAGCTTTCTATGAAACACTACCAACTGATAATGAAAATGAAGCAAGATGCTATACCAACATGACACTTCAAGATCTCTAGCGAAGACCATGGGAAGATGCAGAATTTAGGAAATTACAGGTGGAACCTCTCCTCCTGACCTGTGTGACTAGACACCAGCAGAAGGAAGGAGCAGGGACACTGCAGGCACGTAGACAGCCTGCCTGTGGGAGCAATTCTGCAAAAACCCTATCTCCTTACTTTTGTACTGAACAAACATCTACTGCAGACGATAGTCAAGACAAGTCCCACTTATCAGTCACAGAGGATTCCCACATTACACTGTACCTCATTCTTTACGAGATATAAATAATTCCGAGAAGGAGATCTTAACATCACAGACAGCCCCAGTCTGCACAGACAGATCCTCTGCATGTGGCAAGGTCTATCAACACTAAGACATGAGCACATTCCTACCTTCTGTTTTCCGCTGTAAAACTGCTGTCAGGTGCTCTATAGCTTCATCCACATGCAGCCCATGCAGGTCTAAGACATTCTGTGGCAGCAGAGAGGCATTGACCTTCTCAAAGATCTCCACAGCAGCGAGGTGATTGGCTTCTTTCATCTTCTGCTCGTGAAGACTGCCCTTTAATCATAACACATCACCAACAGCCACTTATGATAACTACCACTTAGTCCAGTGGATCTTAACCCTTCCAATGCTGGGACCTTTTTAACATTTTCTCATGTTGTGGTGACCCCTAACTACAAAATTATTTCTTTGCTACTTCATGACTATGATTTTACTACTGTTATGAATCATAATGTAAATATCTGACATGCATGTTTCAATTCGTGAGCCATAGGTTGAGAACAGTTGATTTAGACAGTCAAGAAGCAAAAGTGCCCTAAATGAAAAAAACAGAACATCTAACATCTTGATGTAACAAGCTAAAGGACAAAGATGAACCAAACTTTGGAAAAATTCAGTAACTAAATAATATGGTTCTTAAACTACTCCATCATAGTTTTTAAAGTAAAAATAAAAAATTCTTAAACAAAAATCATAATAGGAAACTTAACAATATTTAGCTTAAGAAAGAACCAAATGGTTTAATGCTTGATTAATAAAGTGTATTCTTTGATAATCCTGGGCCACAACTTGATGCTCCCTTTCAACACCTTCTTCTATTTATCCGCCCCACAAGGTCTGCTGTCAGGCTTCAAAGGGCTATACTAATATGACACCTTCTAGTCAACAAAAGAGTTAAGCGTATGAAGCCACAAAAATAAAAAGGGTACTTCTTACATGACCATGCAAAAAAAAAGGCCAGCCCAGAAATTTTATTCTCTTGAAAAATATTACCATCCTTTTCCTCTTTGTAACATAAAAGTGATGCTTGGAGGCTAGGGGGATGGCTCATGGTTAACATCACTTGCACAGCAAGCTTGAAGACAAAGAGTTCAAGTCAATGTATCAATGTAAAAAGTTGGGCATACTCGTATTTGTCTTAACCGCAGCACTAGGGGAAGAGACAGGTAGATTCCAGAGCTCAAAAGGCAAGCTTCTAGTTCCCCCTGTCTTACAGTAATAAATGGAAAGTGATAATGGAAGATAACTGGTGTCCTCCTCTGGCATCTGTATGCACAGGAATATGCATTCAAAAACTCCTGTGCTCATACCAAATACATACACAAATAACACAACACACACACAAATAAGTAAGCAAATAAAATGCCTTATTTAAAATCCAAACATTATAGACAATGTAAGAAGACTCATGTGATTCCAGCCTAAGACAAACTTTTCTGCTTTCTTTCCTTCAGGAAACTTCATGTTCAGACATACTACTGAATAACAAATGCTCAGGAGATCACTAGATGATCTGATTTAATCTAAAGGAAAAGAGAACAAGCCATAATCTCCCAGCCTAGAGGTAAAGGGCCATCTTCCCAGGAATTTGGGACCTAAGGCACAAGAATCACAAGTTCAAGGCCAGTCTGGATAATTTTGTGAGACTCAGTCTCAAAATAAAAGATAAAGAAAAAAAGAAAAGGAAAGGAAAAGCAAAATAGAGGGGTGGATGAGAGCAGCTCACACTGACGACGGAAGAGCGGCTGTAGCTCGTGAAGCTACACTACACAAGCAACGACAGGCCTGAGCAAAGCACACAAATTCCACAGTCACAGGACTCTTTCGTATTAGCCCACTTTATACGTCACTTATATAATCTCTATATTCCTTCCCAAACAACTGTTAAGCCAAAACTTAGTGTAAGTATCAAGCACTTCAGACTACTTGAACTGGTAAACAAACTGTAATCAGTTTTCCACTTCACCTGCTGAGCATAAAAGGTGGCCACATTCTTCTTCCCCATGCGGTAGGCTTCCTTGGCCTTGCTGTAGCACTCCATCCTCTTCTGCTGGTGCAGGAAAGCCTCCGCCCTGTAGTCATCATACTCGGGGTACTCAAAATCCTGGAAAGATGAGTCCCCTGCCATATCATCAGTCTCTCTCTGTTTCTTTGCCTAGAAAAACCACAATACGTAATACACAAATATAACTGCAAAATGGATGTCTTATCACCAGAAAATGCATATATAAACTAGGCTGTGAGCCAGGCTTGATGGTACAAGTCTGTAATCCTAGAAATTAACTGGGGAGCAAAAAGCAAGAAAATCACACAATCAGATGTGTTGAGGGAGGTATGGTCATAAACAGGCAGGAAGATCAGGACACACTTGGCTACACAGTAACTGGAGGCAGTCTGTACATGAGACTGAACAAAAGTAAAACCAGCCAGGCACGGTGGTGCACACCTTAAATCCCAGCACTCTGGTGGCAGAGAGTCAGATCTCTGAGTTTAAGGCCAATACAATCTAGCCTGGTCTATGGAGAGTTCCAAAAAGGGGGGAGGGGGAGAGGGATAAGAGGGAGAGAGAGGGAGAGACAGAGAGAGAAAGAAAAAGAGAAAAAAGAAACAAAATGAACAACTAGACATCTTTTTCCTCAGTGTCTACACTTTAAGTCAAGCACATACTACCACTAGCTTTTCCATGTCAGTAACATTATCTCCTTTAATCACTTTTAGGAAACACTGAAATGTTCTTCAAAATCATTAAAATATAATCAGGACATAAATCAAGCCAAAAGATAGAAGGTAAGATAGAGAGTTGTAGGAATGCAATCAGCATAGAAATCCAACTTTTGGTTTGTGGTGAAGCCTATCCAAAAGGTTCCAAAGTCTTGGATAGTGTTGCACACCCATCCTCCCAGCACTCAAGGGCAGAGGCAAGGGTTCAAGGTCATTCTTGACTGCGTGAGGAATATAAGTCAGCTAGACAGGTCTTGCTTTAAACAAAAAGTTTCAATGTAACTGATAATTTTCAACTTACCATTTTTAAAAGCCAATTAAAAACAAATAATTAAAAAGAGAGAGAGAGAAGTCACTCAGGGAGATAGTTTTACCGTCCCCTTGGGTCTGTGCCATGCCAGGAGACAGCGTCACCACTCGCTGTGGGCCCAGTGGATCACGGTAATAGCAAGAGCCTCCAGAAACTATCTAACCAGTGGAGTCTCAGACTCAGCCTCACCTGCACCTAGACCAGTTATAGTTGGAGACTTAATACTTTCTGCACCTGGAGGAGTGACCACCGAAGCTGTTGCCCCGCCTGCATCTAGAGGAGCAACATCTGAGTCTTGGGCCCATTTACACCTGGAGAAACAATCACCAGAGGCTCAGTCCTGCCTGCAACTGAAGGACCATTCAATGGAGCCACAGCTCCAAGCCACACCAACTGAAGGAAAAGGGACCTCCTGAAGCACAGGCTCCACCCAAACCAATTGGAGGAAAAGATGGGTAGACAACGAGCTTAGAATACGCTCAACAACACAAAGAGCAATACAGCAACACCAGAAACTAGTGGTTCTACAGCAATAAGACCTGAACATCCCGACACAGATGAAGCCGGATACTTAAAATTACTTTATGAAAATGACTGAGACCCTTACAGAGGAAATGAAAAATTCCCCTAAAAGAAATGGTAGAAAAGACAAACAAAAAATTGGAAGAGATCAACAAATCCCTTAAAACCAATAAAAGGCAATCAAATAGGTGAAGGAAAACGTTAAAGGCTTAAAAACTGAAATAGAAGCTGGGCAGTGGTAGCGCACACCTTTAATCCCGGCATTTGGAAGGCAAAGGCAGGTGTATCTGGTCTACAAAAACTAGTTCTAGGACAGCTAGGGCTATTACACAGAGAAACTCTGTCTCAAAGATAGATAGATAGATTGATAGATCTGATAGATCGATAGAGATAGATAGATAGATAGATAGATAGATAGATAGATAGATAGATAGATAGATAGATAGATAGAGCTAATAAGCCAAACAGTTTATAATTATTTTAAAACTCTGTGTATTTCTTTGTTACTGAAAGGCCAAGGTGGGGCAGAAACTTTCATTTATAATTTTATACCTGTCAGAATGACCAAGTTCAAATACTCTAATGATAGCTTATGCAGGAGAGGATGTGGAGTAAGGGGAACACTCCCCCATTGATGATGGGAGTACAAAGTTGCAGAGCTACTGTGGAACTAGAAAAAGCCATCCTGAGTGAGGTAACTCAGACCCATTAAAAAAAAAAAAGGAGGAGGAGGGGGGAGGGGAGGGAGAGGAAGAAGAAAAGAAGGAGGAGGGAGGGGAAGGAAAGAAAGAAAAGAACACCTCATGTAGATGGCATGACCAATAGTAAAAAATCATAAATACATTTATGAGTCAGTTTCAACCTACCATCAGCCACTGTGGTAAGAAAAATCAGTAACCTTTTAGGAAAAAACCTGTACCTAAAATCTCAGTAGCATGGAGGCCAAGCAATTTTACTGAGAACAGTATAAACTACGTAGTGAGATCCTCTCTCAGAATCCAAACACAGCAACAAAATGTGCTTCTGTGTATGCACCCACATGTGCACGTGATGTAATTATCCAAAAGAGATCCTTATAGAAGTTTCTAATGTAAAATACAAGATAATGAAAATAGTAATTATTCAAGCTGACTATATGTTTTCCATTAAGGAAGAAAACTATTTTTTAAAGATAATATTCTCAGTATGTTCAAATGTTTTTAGACTATCAAAAACTAATGTTTAACAAATGAAACACAGAGATCTCTAAGCCAACTCAGTCTTCACAGATTCCATTCTTCACTGTTTGCATAGAACTGTTTGCAAACAGCCATCTGCGTCTTAGATTTATCTTTTTTCTTTGTTTTTTGTTTTGTTTTCCTTGTTTTGTTTTTTCAAGACACAGTTTCTCTATGTATCCCTGGCCATCCTGGAACTGGAACTCGCTCCGTAGATCAGGCTGGCCTCGAACTCAGAGATCCTCCTACCTCTGCTTCCTGAGTGTTGGTATTAAAGACATGTGCCACCACCTAGAGTCTTAGCTTTATCTTAAGAGATATAGGTTTCAATTCGTTTCTTCGAAACCTTAAAAGTATTATAAGTCATACATGTCCTACTATGTAAGTTAATAAACATTTTATGTGTATTCAAAGTGAAAACTAAACAAAACCATAATTTTCAATACTCTAAAAATGTTTTTATTGATATAATTATTTGATTGAGGTTACTTACTTGAATGTAGCAACTTGGAAATTATCATTTCGCTTAGAAATATTACCAAGAATTATATTTATAATGTACTCTATAAAACAATCTACTGTGACACATAGGTTTAAAATCTTAAAGTCTACCACTTAATTTATAGTAATACTATGCTGTGGGACAATGGTCTGTAGCCTGTCAATTGTATTTTAATAAAATGCTGATTGGTCAGTAGCCAGGCAGGTAGTATAAGTGGGACAACCAGACAGGAAGTAGAGGTGAGAAAGGAGAATTCTGGGAAGAGGAAAGCTTGGTCTGCTGTCCTGATCTGGCCACAGAGCAAGCAAGATATAACTGCCTCACCGAAAAAGGTTCCAAGCCACGTGGTTAACATAGACAAGAATAATGGGCTAATATAAGTTATAAGAGTTAATAAGAACCCTGAGCTAATGGGCCAATCAGTTTATAACTAATGTAGACCTCTGTGTGATTTCTTCGGGACTTAACGACTGTGGGAACTAGACAGGACAGAAATCTCAGTCAATAATATTACAAAATAGTGTATGTATTATATAACACACATATAATCTCTAATTGATAAAAATAAGGGAAGAAAGGTTTGCAAGTACTGACCAATACATAATTAACAGTTGGGTACAGAATTTCCTCACTAATATTTTGTTTAGACCCTGGGACTGCAGAGACTTGAAATAGACATCACCATGTTCTTCAAAAAATTAATTATGAGTCAGGCATGGTGGCCCATACCTTCAATCCCAAAGATAGTCAGATCTTAAAGCCAGAATGATCTACATAGAGAGTTCCAGGCTAGCCAGAGCTACACAGAGAAACCCTGTCTTGAAAACAAACTCAGAGATCTACCAGCCTCTGTTTCCCAAGTGCTGGGACTAAAGACATGAGCCACCACCACCCAGCAACAAATCATATTTTCATATACATTTATTTGCCAAAAGAATACAAGATCTAACTCCTCCATACCTTTTTCTCTTTTGATTTTAGTGCAGTATGAGAAGTGATATTCTCATTTTGGTGACCGCATTCTTGAGCGACAACTGTTTTCACAGGGTCTCCTTCAAGAACACAGTTTAGAAACTGTACTGTGTGTTCCAGTGAATAGCTGTTTAAATATAATGTTAATAAAAGAAAATGAAAGTTCTGTGGTATAAATTCAAGCAATTTCTAAAAATATAAAAAATGGGCTGGAGAGATGGCTCAGTGGTTAAGAGCACTTGCTGCTTCTGAGGAGAATCCAGATTTTCACAACAGCATGCAACTTTAGTTCCAGAGGAGCTAATGCCCTCTGAGCCTTCTGTGAGCATCAGACACATAAGGAGTATACATGTAGGCAAACACTCAGATACATAAAAAATATTTTTTTAAAAATTTTAAAGTGTAAGAAATTGGCTTATTTTAAGTTTTTAATATTGAAACTTAATGTACTCGAAGATTCAAGAAGAACCTCTAGGAAATCTCAGGAAAAATAATAATTGGGTCCTATTTTTTTTTTTAAGATAGATCTCACAATATAGCCCTGGTTGCTTTGGAACTTGCTACAAAGACCAGGCAGACCTAAACTCAGAGATTCGCCTACCTCTGCCTCCTTAATGCTGTCAAAAAAAATTTTAAACAATACTAAGGATCTTTTCTATTTTATTATGTGTATGGATGGTTCACCTGCATGTGTCTATGCACCACATGCTTGCCTGGTGCCTACCATGTGGGTGTTACCAACCAAACCCTGGTCCTCGCAAGTACAGCCACTGCTCTCACCACTGCGTCATATCTCTAGTCCATTACTTGGAAAGTTTTTAGTAATAATAATAATGGGCAGGTACAATAGATCAACAGACAAAGATTCTTTCTGCCACATCTGATGCCCTGAGTTTGATTCCCAGGATCCACATGTTGAAAAGAAAGAGCCATGACCTCCACACTTACTGCTTGCACACACAATAAATAACTGAATGAATGAATAAGCAAAAAACTCAGATGTTTAGAAAAAATATGTTTAACCTCATTAAGCACTACACAGTACACACATTCATAAAAACAATCTATGACTCATTAATATGCACACTTTTGTGTTTATATACCAGTCAAAATTAACTGAGCTGGGGATGTGGCCCAGTTAGTAGAGCACTTGTCTAACATGCAGGAAGTCCTGGGTTTCATCCCTGGAATTGTTTAGAACTGGCCATGAAGGCAGAAACCTGTAATCAGAAAAAGGTCAGAAGTTCAAGGTCATGCTTAGCTACCCAGCAAATTTAAATGATAGCCTGGGGATACATGAGACCATCAGTAGATTTTAATTTAAAAAAAAAAAGAGGCCGGGCGGTGGTGGTGCACACCTTTAATCCCAGCACTCGGGAGGCAGAGACACGCTGATCTCTGTGAGTTCGAGGCCAGCCTGGTCTACAAGAGCTAGTTCCAGGACAGGAACCAAAAGCTACAGAGAAACCCTGTCTCAAAAAAAAAAAAAAAAAAAGTGTGTGAGGTCCTAGACTTAATCCCTAATACCAAAGTAGTAGGTGGAGGTGGTAACATGACAACTCAGTTTCTTCTAATTATTTATTCTGGGGTCAGGCTTATCTAGTGCATGCCTGTGCCTACATGATGAGGCACATCAGCTGCACTGATTCTCTTTTATCATCTATATTCCATCAGTCTTTTGGGGAATTATAAAGTTTCAATTTCCTTCCAAAATCAAACACAGATAAAATACCCCCATGCCGGTATTTATATTGTAACAAACTGAACACCACGAGGTTCTAGTTTAAAAATGAAATCAAAGAGCCGTCTGCCTCAGTCCCATGTTATCTGGGCAGGTTTCTCGTGGTGAAAAGGTAAAAAATTAAGGAAAAAAAGAACAAGGAATACAAATGGCTAGAAATTTTCACTTTCTGTATTATATATATTAAATCTAAACTTAATTATTTATATTATATTTAATCAGAAAAATGAACATGAGATTGTTTGGGATATACTTCCAGTGACATTAGAGTAAAAAATCACAGCCAGTCCATCTAGCACTCACTTGTGATCTTTGAAAATGTCCATCAGGAAATTTTGGTTAATGGCTGGAAATATTTTAAAGAGCTGCTTCTCCTTTAGTTTAGTGGCACAGTCTTTTTCAAACATAAGTGTCTCCCTTTTCTAAAACAAAACAGAAAAGAATCACCCTTATGATGAAATTTATAAGCCAGACAATACTGAACAAAAGCCTAATTATTTTGTTGCAAAAACACCAACAATTTATAAGCAATCACAGCCTTTCCTCGCTGATCAAAGGCGGAAGTTAGTAATATAAGTATTCTTACACTATTTATTTATATCCCATTTTGCCAAGTATTCAAAGGCGCTCATAAAGACACACAGTTCCATATACACACATACATACACAATCTCAAAACAGTCCACTAAATGATGTAACAAGGAGAAGCTACATATACAGTCATGAACCACAAAACGGTGCTTCAGTAAATGAGGACCCTCATATTGATTGGTATATGCTGTACCATACAGCTTAAGGCCATACTAGGCTGGTGTAAATACACTATGATATCCATACAACAAATCACCTAATGATGCTTTATTTGGGACATTATTCATCATTGATCAGTATAACTGTCTATTAAAAAATAGGATATAAATAAATGAAGTCAAAGATTAGAGAAAATGAAGGCAAGAATACAGGATAAAATTAGTGTATAAGTCCATGCCATAAAATCCTGTAGAGTTGCTACAAATTCAGTTCTGAGCCCCCTTAGTGGCCAAAGCAAAAGGGAAAGAAACATTCTCAGTGTTCATAAATTTAAAACAAACCAGTTACTCAGGAGAAGTACAGCTTTCTGGTACTGAAAGCTGAGAGAAATGTCTCCCTGAGTCCTGATTAAGGGATACTGTGTGCGGCTGTGACCGTCCTCACAAATACACTCTCCTCAATGGGCAGAAACTACAATGTATAAAGGTTGTAAAATTCAGGTTGACAGAAAACCTTATAGCTCCTAATTACTTAAAAATTTTTCACAAATACATTTACTCAAAAATAACCTATGAGTATCAGTATTTTCACAGTCCATGAAGCTGCCTATCCTGAGCACTACTCCACCAGGTAGAGTTGCACACACCTAAAATGCTGGGAGTTCAGGACAGTCTCGGCTGTATGTTGAGATCCAAGCACAAAAAGTTAAAATTTAAGTAAATAAAGTAAAACTGTCAGACTAAATGAACTTTCCTAAAATACATCCTTTCTCTGCCCACCCATCTACGGATTGCACTGCATGCTCCCTGTGGAGGCTCTCTCTCTTTCTACCTTCTTCCCTTTAGACAGGCTCTCCACAGTTGGGAGATCTGAACTCAAGTATTCATGCTCGGCAGCAAATATTCTTACTCACTGAGCCATCTTCCTAGTCCCTAGAATTCTTTCAAATTCTAAACTAAGATTATGATAAAGATTCTTTATCATAATATGGCCTGGCAATAGTGGTGTACGCCTTTAATCCTAGCACTCTAGGAGGCAGAGGCAGATATATCTGAGTTTCAGGCCAGCCTGGTCTAAAAAAGTTAGTTTCAGGACAGGCCCTAGAGCTACAGAGAAACCCTGTCTCAAAAAAAAAAAAAGAATTCTAACAGAAACTATGAATTCTAACATCGATGAACTATAAACTCAAGATCTCATCATCCTGCAATTAATGTTCATGTTTTAGTCCTTAGTACATATGTTTGCTTTGTATTTCTTTTTTCCAGAGCTACACAAAAGAGTATTTTCTCCTTTGGAGTAGTGCAAAGGAAACATCAAGAAATTCCCTTACTAAGGCTTCATCTAAAGTGAGGATTCCTTAAAAGAATATTCTTTGAACCAAGTTGTCTACTTTTCTTACATAGCTCTGGCTGCCCTAGAACTCACTCTGTAGACAAGGCTGTCCTTGAACTCAGAGATATGCCTGCCTCTGCTTCCTAGAGTGCCAGGATTAAAGGTGTGTGCCATTGCCACCCAGTTCTTGTCTACTTTCTGTTACCCAATTTGTTGGTTTTTTTTTAAAAAAAAAAAAAGGAAAAATTACTGACAGAAAAAATGCATTAAATTGTAAAGTCAAAAGACATTCATTTGTTAAATACTAGAAAGATTATGAGGCAGGTCAGAAACAAAAGGTAAGTTTCAGTGATAGAAATGGCATTTCAGCAAAACTATTACATTATTCAAGCCTAAAATCAGACTTTCCTATTTCTTTTAAGAGATATCTCAGAGGTTAAGAGCATTGCCTGCTCTTCCAGGGGTCCTGAGTTCAATTCCCAGCAACCACATGATGGCTCACAACCATCTGTAATGAGATCTGGTGCCCTCTTCTGGAGTGCAGGCAAACATGCAGGCAGAACACTGTGTACATAAAGAGAGAGAGAATCCATTTCTCCAGCCTGCTACACATAAATTAAGAAGGCTATCTGAAACTGCAGTAAAACTGTAAGATACTGCTTGAAACTACTTTACACATGGGTGCAATGGTAGGAATTACGAAGCCAATGGGAGCAGGAAGAACACTTTCGCTCCTCCTGCACCAGACACAGTGAAGTGGAAGACACCTCGGTCCCCACTTAAGAATCACTTTGCCCTTAACTGGACTAATATTTTACTTTTTAAATTCTTTAGTTCTCACTTTCAAAATTAAAAAAGAAAAAGTTGAAAAGAAATATAAAAGAAATCGAATTAACCAATGGCTTCAAATAAGTACACTGAAGTAAGAGCAAAAAGTATATCAGATTTAAAATAAACTCTCTATCTGAACTCTAGTTGAAGAGTAGAAGGAAGAAAACTGAACTGTAATACAAATTCTGAAGCTTCTGAATTTTTTTCTCTAAATTTTTTGTCTTAAAATTTAAAAATAGGCACATCCTTACAAAGCAATACAACTATTATTACTAAATAATGTATGATAACATCTGCAAGTGAAAGAGTTCATTATTTTTCTATAAGTAAAAGATTACAGAAGTAAATGTAAAAACTAACAATAATAGAGCTTGCGAACCCATACTTAGCATAGATGAACTGTGTATGTCAGAGTACCAACTAGCAGGAAACAAAGCCTCACCTAGATTCTACTTAAAACATTTTTTAGTTTCAATATTGGCTTGAGACAGGTTAAATATGAAGTTCAGAGCAGGAGACACAGAATTAAATGAAAATCACATGCGAAACAACACCACAGAGACCACAGATTAGTATCGTGCCAACCCATACCAAATCATGTTTCTCCTGTAAGGCGATTTCTTCTGACATTATTTCTCGCAGTGAAACCTTCTTTGTTTGAGTGTTCCAGGGATCCGGTGTCTCAGGTGCCACTAAAGTCTTCAATAACTTTTTGCCTGTTTTCTGAGATGATTTTTGTTCAGAATTATCAAGAACAGCAGGTCCAGCCAGCAAAGGATCTACAAGAATAATAGTGGTGTAATGTTTTCAGCAATTGATGTACAAATTAAATATTAGTCACAAGACAAAAGAAACATGAGATTTTAAAATCTTTTTCAGCTTGTAAATATAATACGACTTTGAAATTTCAAAATAAACCTTCATATAACTACAAGCAAGAAATGATAATATAGGAATATTTCAAATGAGCAATGATCTAGGTGTGACTAGAAATCAGCTCAGTGCTTCCCATTCTTTTCTGTCACTTTGACTCCCTCCCTCCTCAGCAAAACAGTGCTGGAAGTGTAAATGCTGGGTAGTGAGCAACTGGGAGAGCAGCGCTTAAGCCCGCTCTTCTGTTCACAGAACTCAGAAGAGCGACATGCTGACAAGTATTAACAAAACAGAGGCATACTATAAATACGAAGCAAATTATGCTGAAAATAAGGAACAATCCACAAAGTTCACAGTGATAGGCGTTACCAAGTAACCCTTCAACATCTGCAGGGGTACAGACACACTCCACTCCACTGCTGAGGGTACAGACGCACTCTGCTCCAGCGCTCTCTCCAAGGGTACACACACACTCCGCTCCAGCGCTGTCTCTCCAAGGGTACACACACACTCCGCTCCAGCGTTCTCTGAGGGTACACACACACTCCGCTCCAGCGCTGTCTCTCTGAGGGTACACACACACTCTGCTCCAGCGCTGTCTCTGAGGGTACACACACACTCTGCTCCAGCGCTGTCTCTGAGGGTACACACACACTCTGCTCCAGCGCTGTCTCTGAGGGTACACACACACTCTGCTCCAGCGCTGTCTCTGAGGGTACACACACACTCTGCTCCAGCGCTGTCTCTGAGGGTACACACACACTCTGCTCCAGCGCTGTCTCTGAGGGTACACACACACTCTGCTCCAGCGCTGTCTCTGAGGGTACACACACACTCTGCTCCAGCGCTGTCTCTGAGGGTACACACACACTCTGCTCCAGCGCTGTCTCTCCAAGGGTACACACACACTGCTCCAGCGCTGTCTCTCCGAGGGTACACACACACAGTCGCCACAGCCACTTGCATTTATCCGACTACACTACAGTTTAGTCACTTCTACCTTCAGTCAGCTTTATCTCTCTTTTTAAATAATTGTATTAATTCTTTGAAAATTTCATAGATTGTTTAGATCATATTCACCCGCCTCCCCCATCTTATCCAAAACCCACTCCCCACCCCAGATGAACCAAAATTTATGTCTTTCATTTTTTTAAAGTCCATCAATCGTATACACTCTTAGGTGTGTGGCCAGTGTTCCCTGCTACAACATGTCACAGGTCTGAAATAAAGTGGAGCCCAAGAATCTTCAACCTGAAGCTTCGCACCTTGGTTGCAGGGAAGAGTGCACAAAGGAAGTACTAACAGTGATTCATGACAAAAGGAAGGCCCTTCTCACCAGACCTGCCATGACAGAAATCACTGGAGACAAGACTGTTTAAGAAGCCATCTGGAAGGGGCTGGAGAGATGGCTCAGTGGTTAAGAGCACTGGCTCCTCTTTCAGAGGTCCTGAGTTCAATGAGTAAACCTAACAACCTGAGTTCAAGTCCCAGGACACATAGTAGAGACACCTACAAACTGTTTTCTGAACTGTACACATACACCATCACACACACATATACACACACACCATCATACACACAGCATCACACACACACACAAAATTTTTTTGATATAATTTTAGAAATCCTTGGGTACCATATTTTGTGGAAGCACATTGAAAATGAGTTAAGACATGCATGCACACTTGAGCCAGTGGTAGTGGAGCACACTTTTAATCCCAGAACTTGGGAGACAAAAGTAGGCAGATCTCCAAATTCGAGGCCAGCCTGGTCTATAGAGGGAATTCCAGGACAGAGTGTTTACACAGAGAAACCTGTCTTAAAAGACAAAACGAAACAAAAAGGCTCACTCCATGTTTCAACCTCAAGACAAAGTGAAAGCCAGAATATGTACTTTACCTTGCATACACTTGCCACAAGACACCTCCTCCTGTCTCTGTCGCTCCTGCATACAAAGGCAGAGCAAAGATTGGCAAAGGGCGGGCACTGGGATATAAAGCTACAAAGTTATAGCAGCTTTCTCTAGAAATCAGTTCTTCTCATGCACTATAAGTCGTTATTAAAATTAAGTAAAACAATAAAATTATATAAGTGAAATTACTAGGAATAGCTATATATATATATATTTCCCTACTTACAAAACTCTGATTTTTAAGATTTTCACTATTTTTTAAAATTTTATGCATGTATTTACGTCTGCATGTGGGTACATGTATTTAAATCTGCATATGTGTAAAACAAACACAGGGAGCTAGCTTTTCATACAAGGAAGCTACCAACCATTACAGAGTCTCTCCATTTCTCATGAATCACTTTAGCCAGATTCAGATCTATATGAACCACACAATCCTCAACTGTTAGAGAGCCTTGTGAAGGGAAGAGAAAGAGAAAAAGACCATCATTACTCATCATACATTTGCAGACAACACACTCGACTATCATATGCATAAACCAAATATTGTCATCATCATGAACACATTCCTATTTACATGAAATGTTCTTATGTTCTGACATTGTTTTCATACGTAGCTGGTGCACACACAAAGCTTCGTGACAAATCTACTTAGGTTGCTCTCAGCTCCATACATTCCTTTAGCTAAGATTTCCGTAATTGTGTTCTAGGAAATTACTTCCTGCCTTAAATCTATCTGAAATAACACCAAAAGACACAAAGTTCACTTTTGCAAATAAACTTCTAACATATTAATGGATATACTGATATAAAATTCTACATAAATATTCTCTACTTCAAATTGTTTTGAATCCTTTAAAAACATGTTATGCCAAATATAAGGCACTAAGTAAAAATATGTGATATAACCTACTGACACATTGAGCCAATGAGATAACTGCCACTGAAACGAAAACTTATATACGCTCTCTATTTACACACATGCTGGCACGTGCTCATGCACACGTGCGCACACACACAGATAATTTACTTTTTCCTTACCTGAATCAATACCAACTGGGCCAAATAATTCATTAAGTTGGAAAGCCAACTCAGGGGGTAATGCCAACTCCAGACAGTCTATGGTCAGAGATTTGGCCATCACTGGTGTGGGATTCGATACCTCGGTTTTATCCTCTCGACTAACTCCAGCTGACAAACTAGTTCCTGGCATTAGAATTTTCTCCATTTCCTGTTTATCTTCATTGATAAATTCTTCCATGTTTCCAAATTTTACATAATCCTTAGGAATATTCTCATTTTTCTTTACTTCCAACGAGCTAGTAAGATAAACTTCATTTAAGTCAGGATTTGAAGTGCTTGTTGCAGAGTTGATAATATCAGATAAATTTAAAAAAGAATGAACACTGCCGCCAGTCTCTGTGGCTATTACATTCTTCTCCATTTCACTAACATCTCTGAGGACATTAGGTTTTGGAGTAAGCAAAAGAGGCAGCTTAAAGCTGTGTACACCCGACCCGTCAGCCTGAGTGCTAGGAACTACAGCAGCATTAGGAAATAGTCTGGCTACGAGCTCAGGGCTTTCAGGATTTACAGCTCTCATCTCTTCCTGCTTCAAGTTTCCCTTCTCTGCATCACCAGCAGACTGTGCATTAGTGTTCCTGATACCAGCCCCAGGGTTAAATTCTGACACGGAACACTTAGGATCTTCTGAGGTTCCTCTATGGCCAATAATTTCCTTCAAATCCAGCCCCATAGAGAATGGCCCCACTTGTGACTCGTCATATGATCTGGGGGGATTCTCAACCTCAGTGTCCTCACATAGTTTAGTCTCAGAGTCCAACAAAAGGCTCGTTGCCCAAATAATATCTTTATTACATCTCTCATATAAATCTTTTAGGGCTTCTAAAGAAAATGACCCAAATAGTTTACAAAGGATGTTAAGATTCTCAGACTCGTCGGCACTGGTGAGCTCACTTTCTTCCACATACGTGCTTTTGTCATGCATTACTCTGTATGGAATTGCTTCATGAACATTTAATTTCCTATTAGTAGTAAAATCTTTTGGCTTAAACCCATCTAGTTTTCCTGTTAGCACTCTGACAGAATCTGAAACACTGATTTTATTCTTTTCTAGTTTCCACAAAAGAGCAAAATCTTGGGGCTCAGTCTGGGCACATGTGCTCGTATCTACTCCAGAAACAATCCCAGACACCCCCACTGCTAGAGACCGAGGAGGTCCCATGACTCCAGGCAGGGCAGCTGCACTACTGGAGAAGGGAAGGGGCAGTGTGTGCTGGCTAGGAATCGTTTTGCTCAGGGAAGTTTGATCCTCGTGAGTTGTTTTACTAGGCAGCACTTCAGAACTTCGAAGGGTGGAACCCAGTGATTTGAGTTCTTCAGGGCTTGTGCCCCAATAGGCCTCATGTGTGGGGTACAAGGGTATTTCACCCACGCTGTCACTAGCTCCAAATTCTAAGCTGATTTCACTTAAGCCAGCTTTTGGTATCCTCGACCTGTGCTCTCTCTGAGCTAACGAAGCAGGTGAGGGCCAGTCGCCCACAGTGCTGAAGGAGGGTTGCTCGGTACTTTTGTAAGGGTCATACTGACAGCTACTGGGCACTTCTGAAAGATCTTCCTTTCCATGTGGAGAGCCTCGCTGCGGGACATGACCCGTACTCACAGACACCCTAGTATCAAATATTGTCTGCGACTGAGGGCGATGACACTTTTTGTCATTTTGTACAGATAAACCTTTTTCAGTTTTCCGGTTCCTTTTGGTCCTCTGGCTGATTGTCTTATCAACTGGCCAGTCACCCACAAAATTTGATGGTTCAGGTTTTGGGAACTTTTCCAAAGATGATTTGCTTTTTTGTTTTCCAGTGGTCTTTTTCTTTCCTGTTGTTCTTTCTTCCAGTATTTCAGGAGGTGGGGGATTTTCACTTTGGAGGGTCCCAGCACTTGCAAGCTCACCAGCTTCTTGACTATCCTCAGCACAGTAACTACTTGGAGATGCTCCCTCTGCAGGACTCCAACCATCGACTTCAGCACGCTCTTTTGACGGCATCGGCTCTTGCTCTTTCTCACTCTTGTCTGTGGCTTGAACTTTGCTTTCAGAGTGAGAAAAACAGGAGTTTGGGGCTTCCCGCAAGAAGGGGCTGCTGTGAGCACCATGACCCGCGGTGTTCATCTCTTTTCTTCCCCTGTTTAAACTGGCCCGAGGGAGGGGGGACGTGCCCTCGGGGAACACTGCTTCTTTGGCCACTTCAGGTGTCTTCTCCTCAGGTAACTCTAAGTGCTTCACAGATGTGGATAAGACATTCTCTTCTTTTTCAGAGGTAATAGCTTCATTGTCTCCTGAGCTACAAGACATTTTTTTGAAGAGTGGTAAGAAAGTCTCTTCACAGTACCATTAATACTGTGATTTAAATTAAAGAAGCATGCAACCAGACAGCATTTACCATTTATTCTAAATACTAAAAAATAAATTGCACAAAAATTACCAAAGCTGGGATGGGGATATAAGTCAGTAGTATAGCTCAGAGGCAGGGCACTTTCTTGGACTAGTAGAAGTGTTTTAAGAGCTAATCTTAGGCTTTCCCTAAAATATCATAAACACATCCTTTACTCTGAGTCCTACGCCTGGCACTCGGTGCAGCATCCACAGAGCAGACTGAGTTGGACAGTAACCTGCGGCTGTCAGTCACAGTGCTATGTATTGACTATTACTATGAAGGTTCTCACTGTGCTCACATGAGAGGACATCACCGTGCCGGCTTCTTTCACACCCACAGCTTAGCATATGTTACAGTACATAGACCTACCTCCATGTCCATCTGCCAGAAGAAGCTTCACTTATAGAATTGTTTCTCAATCTGTGGGTCATGAGCCCTTTGAGGGTCAAACAACCCTTTCAGAGAGGTTACCGAAGACCATCGGAAAACACAGATATTTACATTGCAATCCATAACACTAGCAAAATTATAGTTATAAAGTAGCAATGAAAATAACTTTATGGTGTGGTAGTCACCACAACATGAGGAACTATATTAAAGAGTTCCAGCATTATGAAGATTGGGAACCACTGCTCTACAGGACCACAAAACCAACACTGTCAGATACGGTCCATGAGTGAAGCTATGTGAGATTTCTACAAGACAAGCATCCGGTATCCTCTGCTCCTCCATCACATGGGCTGATCCTGGAATGTGCTTCATGCCCACCTAGGTGTAGTAAATAGGAGTGGTTTACTTCAGATTCCCCATCCGTTACTAATTACTCAGATGGCTTCTCTGAACACGGGTTGTCCTCTTGACTGCGTTCAACCTAACTCATGTGACCTTGCCCTTGTGCCTATCTATATCCAATTTGAACTAAAGTGAACTTTGCTCACATGACCTTGCTAAACCCTCAAAATGTCCTCAGACTATAAACTGTCTAATGTCCTGAAAAAATCTGGTTACTGCATGAGACTTTAGTCTACCTATTTTTAGGCTCTTCCCTCCCAGGTCCACGCTACCAACAAGAGCAATAATACAACATAATTTGTGTGATTAAAAAAAAGAAGAAGAAGAAGCCAGGTGTGGTGGCACTCATACTCAACACTCTGCTTTAAGTCTGTCTGGAAAGAAAAACAAAATTGAAAACAAAGGAAGAGTCAGGCGGTGATGGTACACACTAATCCCAGCATTTTTGGGAGGCAGAGGCAGGATCTCAGCAGTTCGAGACCAGCCTGGTCTACAAAGCAAGTTCTAGGACAGCCAGGACTGTTACACAAAGAAACTCTGTTTGGAAAAACGAAAAAAAGAAAAGAAAGAGAGAGAGAGGAGGAGGGAGAATAGGGAAGGGAAGGGAAGGGAAGGGAAGGGAAGGGAAGGGAAGGGAAGGG